AAGAAGGGAGGGGTGGAGGGAAGGTGTTCTGAGATTTTGTTTTATTTCTCATTTACCTTACTCTGGCTGATTTGTAATAGTGAGCTAATTTTCCCTAAGCTGAGTCTGTTTTGCCCGTGATGGTAATTAGTGAATGATCTCTCTTGTCCTTATCTCGACCCGCAAGCTTTTTGTTATATTTTTCTCTCCCCTGTCCAGCTGAGGATGGGGGAGTGATAGAACGGCTTTGGTGGGCACCTGGCGTCCAGCCAGGGTCTACCCATCACATGCAACAAACTCCCACCCTGCCAATTCATTGCATGGGCATCCTACCACTAAGGAAGCCCTTCCTCACTAATTCCTTGATCTAAAATACAAGTGTGATTGATTATTCATTGAGCCAGGAACCAGGAAAAATATTAATTTTCATACTTCAAGAGGCTATATAGGTTTTTTCACATAGAAACAGTACATTTTGTCATAAATTTTACTAGACCACAGCACCAATCCTGTATACTGATCATGACTCTCAACACATGCATTCTCACTCCTGAGAATGTTTGATACAGGCATGTTAATAGCTTAGTAACACGAACACAGTGCTTATAGTATGATGCTTTCCCCCCATCATTGCAATTTTTAACTATCACAGAAAAATTTGCAAATTTTACTCTAAAGATCAGAGAAAGAGGCTGCACTGTTGTTGGCAATGTACATAACTTACTTTGAAAAGATGACCATGAGCTTCTTCCTGTTTTTTCTGGGTTCTGAATCTTCCTCAAACTCTTCCATCTCTTTTCCTAGAAAAACTTCTTGATGAAATTCTTTGTTAAGATGTCCATCCATCTCCATTTTGACCCCATTCAAGTGATCTGGGGGCAAGATCTCATTCTCATCTTTACTATCAGCTGGCTTTTCTTTGAGAGCCGAATTATTTGCAGGCCTTGCATAAACATCCATTAGAAGAAATATAAACAGAAGGGACAAATACAGAGATCCCAAACTGCAGAGAAAGGCCTGTCTTGACATCATTTTTTCCTTTTTATTAAAAATATTAGCTGATTAAATTACTGTGAATGGATTAAATGATCTAAAAAGAAAAAGGAAAAAACACAAGCAAATTAAACTCTAGAACATTATGTCACTAATAAAACATCTCCTAAAAATTCAGAAGAATCTACACACACATGCAACTATTGCCATGAAAGAATAAAAAATCCTGTTAAATAATAAATACAAAACAAAAAAATTAATCTAGGTTAGTTTTTAGTCTGCACAATTGTAACCTCTGTCAGAGAACTTTGGAAGATAACATCCTTTAAATGGCCTAGTTCTGCTCTGAAAACTGTCTTCAGGTCTTATGGCATGAGCTGACCTGGCAACTGAAACCCAAGCATTTACTGAGAAGTCAACCCAGGGCACGAAGCACTTACTGTCTGAACGTGCAGTCCCAGCTCAGCTGTGCCAACGTCCCTAACACTAGCACTGCACTGCCCAGCAAGGTGCAGAAACTGCCACGACAGCACAACAGTTTACCAGAGATCTCAACACACCACCCCTTTAGAAAGGCTGAAAGACGGAAAGGTCTTTTTGGAAAGCGGTGACTGTGGGAAATACGATTACAAATACCATCACATAAAGCGGATCTGGAAACGCACAGGAAACAGCCGGCAGGAAAAGCAACGCCAGGGGCGGACCTGTCACGACCTGCTTGCCGGTGCGTTAAAATCGCTGCCACATGCGAGCTCGCAGATTGCAGGCACAGTGAAAAGGACCACAGCCCGACAGACGGAGCATCGCGGAGCACAAAACCCACAGACCCGCGAAGCACAGCCCAGCCCCGGGCAGGGAGTAACCCGCCCAGCCCGCGGCAGGAGTCACGGACCGAGCGGTGACGGCGAACTCCCCACCGGAGAGGGGGAGCCCGGCCGGGGCTGCCCCGCCGGACTCGAAGGGCAGTAGCGGTCCCGACCCGGCTCCAGCAAGAGCCACACGCACTCACCGAGAGCTCCGCGGCGCCCGTGGGGGTCCCCACCCCGCAGAAGGGGGACGCAGCCTCTGAGAACCGTGACAGGCCGCGGGGAGGCCAGCCTCGGCCTCGCTGCCCCTCGCCCCGCTCCCTGCCCGGCGGCTCCTCACGGAAGGGCGTCAGCCGGCGCAGAAGACCCCCAAGCCCACTCCCGCCTCAGAGGCACGGGTGGAGGGAAGAGAACGGGCCGGGTCAGCGCGCTGCGTAGGAACTTCGTCAAAACGCAGTGCGTGTGTGAGGGAAGGGGGGGCGGGGGGCGGCCATCTTGGAGTAGGGCAGGGAAGCGCCCTGAGGCGCTTGCGGCAGCCATTTTGCTTCCCTCCCACTCAGCCCCCCCCCCCCCCGGCACCACGCCGGGGCCCAGCCGCTCGCTGGGC